AATTGTTGACCCATCGGTGGATTGAAATTCCGAATACCTTGATACCCTGGATTTGGAATCATATGAAAGGTATTATAATATGTGCCATAATGATACCCTTGTGGAATATCTATCTATTGGGTCCTTTGCTGGTTTGCTGCTTGAAGCCTCTAGATGTAAATGCTAAGATATGTATCTCTATGAATCCTTTGAACTAATAGCGCTATTTTTTGATTCAACGACAGCATCTGGCCTGCTATGCCAAAATTAACCATTTGATTCTGAACTTGCCTCGTCGGCTGTTGCACATGCTGCACTGATAATCTAGGATTATTTTGCATTTGATTAGTAGTGGCACCTTGAACTTGTTCAAATGAGCTCTGAACTGCCTGGACATCATCATTACTAGTTAGTGCTGCTTCTTGATGGCTAGTACCGTCTTGATTAGTCCCCTGAGTCGACGGATGTGGAATGTTGTAGAAAGCCGGTCCAACCTGATCAATTGGATATCCATGAAACACCTCCTTCATGGTATTGTAGAATGTGTTCAAGAAAGCTGTATTATGGTGCAACATGGCATCACGAACAGATTTGTTTATAGCATCTACGAAGAAACGCCTATCATCGGTCTTGTCTATATTTGACTGCCTATGCATCAAAACTCTTAGTAGTGGATATTTCTAAACAACCTTATTGTCACGTGTCTTGGTGTAGGACAACAAACACTTGCTCTACAATTATTTTATAGCCTTACTGATGAAATCTTTATCTTCATCAGGTAGGTCTTCTTAAGGCACCATAAGGATGTCCCTGTTGTTGTGAGTTGTCATGACGATTGTGGTGTCCCACCGGGCGTGCCAGAACGCGTGTCAGCACAAAAATGTCAACACACAGCAAGCCAGAAGGATCTGCTTGATGGAGCAAGGCTGGAGATCCACTTGGCTTCACCGCAGGACCAGTCGATCCTACGAATTTCCTGAGGGTGTGCCAGTCAATTTGACCTCCAATTGATAAGGAGAGAAAGTTTATCAGTAATTTAAGGTGGAACATGCCGGTTTTGCCTAGACAGTTCCAAGTGTGCCGCTTCGGGAGCAGCCAGACAGGAAAATCAACTAAATAGCCAATATGAGAAGAAATCGACTGTTAAGGACTGTAACACTCGTGGATCATGATTGATTTTATAATAACGAATGCAACGTGCCCAGATATATGTAACATCATCAGCTAGATAAATATAACCGGTGTAAAGCATTGAGCCGATAAGTTTAACGAGAAAGGATATAACATGCGAACAAAATCAACTGTCTAGTACAAATGGATCTACAAACGCTCTGAATCTAATCTGCTACCATCAACTGTGAGGTTTGACCGGATTGATGTAGCTATGATGATAACAACAAACTAAAGCCAAAGAATCCATAAAACCATCTATACGTTGACAGTTTTCTGAAAGACATGCTATATGTGTGAAAGCACAGGCGAATCGGCTAAAATAGCCGATTTAGGTAGAAAAATGATCATAGCATGAGAACAATCGACTATTTAATACGAATAGATTTATAAACTCATCAAATCTAATCTATTATCTTTAACAGTAGGGTTTGACTGGATCGATGGCAGCCATAATAAAGATAACAGATTAAACCTTTCAAAGCAAACAGATCTATTCGCATTTAACAGAATCATGAAGACACACTATAAGCGTTAAAGTGCAGGCGATCGGCTATTTAGCCGATGCAGACATAGCAAACAGCCAGGGTCATGCCTAGTCGAAAGCAAATCTACCAACCAAAGATACTTGCCTCTAAAGTACCAATAGCAAATCTACCAACCAACATCCATAATTTGATCTATAGACCGTACTAACTAGCCGGTAAACCTTCTGGGGAAGATCGACATGTCGTTACATCCATAATCAAAGCGAACAGCTGATAAAATATAATCCATCGTTTAAAGTAAGAATCATCGCAATGTGACAGAATAAACGATGGACAAGATGAGGCCGATCTAGATCGATCTCGATCGGGCAGGTTGATATTACTAAAACTATTAACAATAAGAACATCAGTAAGATCGATAACTTAATGAATCTACCCAAAGGATGATGATGAGGATATTAGTACCTCATCGCATACAATCCAAGGAGAGGAGGAGGTCCAGCATGGGCGTCCAATTCATCTTTTTCAGGGTGGAGGCCCAATCCAACTGAAGTTGGAGTCCATCTCGGATTCCAGGACCAGTCTTCCTTAAACTGGTCACCCAAGACGCATCTAGACTCTATTTTCGATGATCCACATATGGATGGAAAGCCAATTTGATAAGGAAGCCAACCCAAGTTGTCTCACATCAAAAGCTTTTCTAAATCAACAGGAATCGTCGAAACAAGTCAGCGTCCAGAATCTGCCAGGGTGCTGCGACACCGTATTTTGGTCTGTTGGACCATGTATCGTGTTTGGGCCATTAGGGGCGTGTTTGACGCCTGTGACTCTATAATTAGCAGCCATCGCTCTCCTTAGGGTTTGGGTTTTGTTTAGTTCTTGATTTCCTCGTCGGCGCTTTTGTTGCAATCGTCATGCGCCAAGGCCGCTTCTTTGAACCAGAGGCCCAGATTCTTGATCTTATTCATGCAGTCCTTTTGAATAAAGACTTGAACTCCTTCTTGTCTTCATAAGCCTCATATTTATTTGCAATTTCAGATTGTTTATCTCGTTCTTGCTTGTGTTCTCGATTTCTCGCGGGAAAGCCTTCTCGGAAAGCCTTCTTGATAGGTCTAACCAACTTGGCGAAGCCTGGTGTAGCGGTTGCGTAGGGTCCACCAATCGATCTTCATTCCTTTTGGAAGATCCTAGTCTACAGATCCACCAATTGACTACCACCCTACTACCATACCTAAGATGGCCTAGTCTACATCGATGCCACTATGGACCTTAGTCTAATTCGAGCGGTGGTGGTCGAACGTGAACTAGATCGAAAAGCATATACTAGAGCTTGAGTCATTGATTGATTGGTTGTCCTTGGTACTTTACACACAAGCCGAGGTCGACCGGACCAATGCAGCCCCGCTTGTTTAAGAACTCGCCGAGATCTACACTACTCCTACTCCTATGGGTTGGCGTGAGGCCGAAAATGTTCCTTTTAATATTTATAATATTTATACCCGGAATCTATGCGTGAATCCTACTCAAATATGACTCATTATAATTTTTAGTATAAGAGAAAACATTCCTAACTTAAGATAACTTGGACCCTAATCTTTCCCTTTTTATAGAGTCTGACATGTTTCTCCCGACGCCAACCATAGCTTATTGACGTCATCCGAAGAGAGTCGATCCCAGTACCGCATATGAACCAGCTGATATCGATCCTTATGCAATCGATTCCTTGATGACACAATCTTGGAAGCTTCGAGTTCCTGCGTTCTTCTTCCCAAATTTTGGTGTAAACAGTGTGAAAGTAGGTTACAAGTAATAAAAACATCATTGTGGATTACTATAGTACTATAAAACATCATTATAAACATAAATATTTAAATCCCAAACACATGGAAATTGATGTCAAATTTATAGAAACAAATATCATTTTACAAAACAATAGTAGTCCCCAAAAAATAAAGAAAGAAACATTTTATTTTATTCTGAGAAAAAAAGAAAATACTTTTCTAGATCCCACCTAACACTTCGGTCCTCGACATGCATCCCCGCCCAAATTTTGGTAGCTGTGAAAACCCCATACTGCCCTCAAGCATGATGGCTACTCATTCACTACACCAGGGACAAAATAGTAACTTCACTACAGACTATATATCTGTGAATCCACTCCCATCGGGTGGACGAAACCTAGCCGCAGCCTTATTTCACTCCTCCCGCATCCACTCCACCTTCGGCCTCCTAGATCCACTCCGCCGCCACCCTCCTAGATCCACTCCGACGCCGTCCTCCTAGATCCACTATGCCACCACCCTCCTAGAGCCACTCCGCCGCCACCCTCTTACACCCATTGCACTGCCTAGATCCACTCCGTGCCTAGATCCACTCTGCTCGCAACCTAGAAGCACGACAGTTGATGGAGACGAAGATGAAAGAGCCGTGACCTACGACCCAGAGACAGAGGAGTCGCACCACTATGTAGAGCTTGGTCTAACCCACCAGAGACACGATGATGACCATGACGTCCACCCCAGCGGAGACACAACCCATCGACGATGCCTAAATGGCCCGCAACACGTCTCTGCCCCCCGAGACCAGGTTCTGTTGAATGCTTCCCCTTTTAGGGTTTAGGGTTTTGTTCTTCAAAAATGCTTCCCCTATGTAGCACTAAAGCTCTTCTAGTTGTCTAGGTAGGTCAAGGGTTTAGGGTTTTGTTCTTCAAAAACACTTCCCCTGTGTAGTGCTAAAATTCTTCTAGTTGTCTAGGTAGGTCTTGTACTGGATAGGGTTTAGGGTTCAATTGGACTAAAATTTGTTTACAAATAGGCTACTATGAAAGGCTACAAGACTTGCAAGTCAAGGAGAACAACAAGAAGATGGAAGCCTTGGGTCTTCGTACCTTGTCCACTTCTCTTCGTAATAGCATGCCAAATGAAAGTTCTCAGAATCCAAACAAGCAAACAAACAAGAATGTTCCTGGTGAGGGTCAGATTCATTCGAAAATCTTCCTAGAGCTAGAGGGCCAGGAAGACAAGGATGAAAGTGTTCATAATAGCTTAGAAAAGATCTCTTCTCAATCTTGGTTGGGTGTCTTTACATTAGGTTGTCCTATGTATATTCTGAGACTTATTTTCATGTAGGTTCTAATAATATATTTATTTTCCCTTGTGTATTAGGAAACTGACAATAGAAACAAGTGGGCTAGAGCATCGAAGAAGAAGAAGACCAAGATGCCTCCAGGTAGAACAAAAAAGGTGAGGGCAACTCTAGGGACTGAGACAGCTCCTGGAGATTCAACAAGGTCTAGAAAAAAGTACATCACCAACCACCAAGCAGATAGGGCTGAGGAATAGTTAAATCCGTGACCAGAGAACAATGGCACAGCCACTGTGGGACAAGGTGAAGAAGAACATCCCCCAAGTCCTATTCTGCACTGGTCTGTTTTTTATGACCCAAGTAATGCAAATGAAGATGAGGTCTCAGAAGAGTAATAGACCATGCTTCCTCACATTCTTTGCTTTACTTGGACTACTCTAACAATATAAGCGCCACCTTTGTAGGTCGACAATGTGCTCCAAGAAAACCAAGGCCGCCAACAAAAGGCAAATTGCTGAACAATATGACAAAATCTATGGGAAGAAGGTTGCCAATTGAAATTGCTGCAGGGAAGAATAGGCCAGAGAAGCCTGTACAAGCTACCAAGCTAGCTTCAGAGGCTAGAATTATCACTAGGAAGAACATGCCTATCCTAACTCAATGGAAACATTACAAGAATGATGAAACCCAATTGAAAGAATTCATGGGCAAGTTATCCGTAAGTAAATTGATACCTTCCATATCTATTTGGTACCTTCAATAAGTCACTGTATCAAATGTGAAGACCTAAATCTGATGGGTGATTGACTTCTGCAGGTTAGGTTGGCAGTTGATGACAAGCATAAGCCAATAGTGGAAGCCTGCAGCAATATGCTCCAAACTATTGTACGCCAGAGTAGATATTTGTTGAAGAAGTACTTCAATGGTATACCGGCTAATGAAGTCAGAACAACTTCCATTATTCCTAATCTTACTGATGAGCAGTGGCTAGAACTCGTGTAGTTGTGGTCTAGTGCAAAAGGGAAGGTATGATGATGTTCTAAAAGATAAACTTTTCTATTTTATCTATGTTGTCTACAACTTACATGTTTGCCTTATAGGAAGTAGTTAAGAAGAACAGGAGCAACCGTGCTAAGGTCAGGCACCATCAAGCGATGGGATCTCGTAGCTACATCTCACACTTGTACGCATATGTAAGTGCTACAACTCTAGTACAATACATTGTATCTTATGAAAACATACATATCTATTTCCTATAAATTAGTCTAGATACAAAAGCTAATTTTCCTGCATTTCACACTAAAATTAAATATAGAGGGAGAGAAACAAGGACAGAGAAGTGGATGCAGTGGAGATGTTCAAGGAATACCATACCAGCAAGAAGAAGGGTATGACCGATGAGGTCAAAGAAACAGTTGTAAGTACCTACATATATGATTGATGGATGGGATGAGTATATATGTCAATATATGTTCATATACAGTTGCTAGATGGGGTTAGTACATGGAAAGGATGTTCATATGCTTAAATGTTGTGTGTGGATGGTTCTATCTATGCTTATGAAATGGAAAGTTGTTCCTATATGCTTGCTGGATGGGATTAGTACATAGAAAATATGTTTATATGTTTACACCTATATATGCAATAATATGTTGTGTGTGCATGGTCCTATCTGTGCCTATGAAATAGAAAGTTGTTCCTATATGCTTGCTGGGTGGATTAGTACATAGAAAAGATGTTCATATGTTTACACCTATATATGCAATCATATGTTGTGTGTGCAAGGTCCTATCTGTGCTTGTGAAATGGAAACTTAATGGATAGGATACTCATATCTCTCATGTGACATGGCAAGTTATTGTTAACTATGTTCATGTACTTAAACATATATACATCAATATGTTTTGTGATGATTTTCATATCTTTTCTTGTGAAATGTATTCTGTATAATTAACTTATCCTTTTTGCACCTGTTTGCTGTAGAGTGTCATGGAAAATATGTTGGCCAAGCCTGCTCAAGGTTTAGAGACACCAAGATCTAGTACTGAGATTGTTTCCAAGGTTCTCACACAAACTAGTGCAGCTTCTACATTCCTCAAGAATGTTGGTATTGAAAGACCAGTAAGAAAGTCTGCTGCATCAGCTACAAGAGAAGCACAACTTCGGGAACAGCTACAGGCGGAGAAGCAACGGGCTAATCTACTTCAAGAAGAAGTGGACACCCTAAAGAAGAAAGCTGAAGAAATAGAAGAATCAATGGACAATACCCAAGAAGTTGTGCTCAGGACCCAGCAAGAGATGGAGGAGTTCAAGAAGAAACAAGAAGCTAATAAACTAATCCTTCAGCGCATCTTAAACCTCAACTCAGGTAATCGAGCTACTTAGCTTGTTCCTGTGCTGCCTGGGTTCCTCTGTAGTGGCATGGAGTGGTGCTGAGCAATGTGGGTACTGCTGGTCCTCATAATAAGTTACTAAACTTGGTATGTCGGTTATGTTGCTTGTGAACTTATTCTGTGATTTGGTACCTTTGCTTTGGAACTGATGTGTTTGTGAACTTGTGGTTCCATGATGTGAACCTATGATGTGTGTGAACTTGTGGTTCCCATGTTTGGGATGAACATTAAGTTTGTGATGTATGAACCTACGTTTGTGCTTGATGTAAGAACTTGTGTTGGATGTGTAATTAAGTTATGTTTATGGAATGAGTGCTCAGGCCGGGCAACAATGGTACTGCCTATGAATTATATCAAATTCATCAAATTTCTATGAAGAAAAACAAACATCATTACATAACAGCTGCCATGTCATCGCTCACTTGCTACCACATCATCACTCACGTGCTGCCATGTAAATGCAATGAGAACGCCATGTGTCAACCACAAAATCATTCACATGTCAACCTCCCCCATCATACACATGTCAACCTCTTCATCATACATGTGTCCACCTCTCCATCATACACATGTCTACTAGAACGCATGCTGAAATAGTTTAGTGACGGGGGCAAAATCATCATGTTTGTAACTATATCTGTGACGAAATACACTAAATCATCACTGTGCAACAAATGTGACACCACAAAGATGATGAATAGAATTTCATCATAAATTCATCACAGATATGTTTCCATGACATTATTGGTCTTTACTATGACAAAAAGCGAATCGTCTTAGAAGTGGAGTTTTTTAGTAGTGCTTGAGGGCTCATAGGATTTTAGATTTGGCTTATCTGTCTAGAGCAGCCGGTACAAGAGCAGCAGCACTGTGTATCACCTACCTGTCGAGCATCGAGCAGTTGATGTGCAGATCTGGACTATATATGGATGAGTGGCTCAGGGTGTTCCACGCTATAGTTTGGATTGATCCGAACTGAGAGTTCATTCAGTTTAGATTCGAGGGGAGCACTTATAGAATCTTTGCTAGTGAGATCTGTCAGTTGTATGGCTTCCCAGAGACACCAGTGAGACTACATAGTTTGTGCTATGGTGCAGCTGACCCTCCTAGACGTCCTCACGGCGGGAAGCCACAACCAGCAGCTCATGTGGCGACTATCTTTCGTCCACCATTCGACGAGGGGTCTCGACGGGGTCCTCAGGACATGACACGAGTTGCTCAGGTACTTGAGGCAGCGATGAGGAGGACTCTACTCCCATAGGTTGGTTTTAAAGAGGCCCTAACACACCTTCAGTAGTGGTTGCTTGGAGCTCTTGTCTCTCACATAGTGTTTGATGTTGTGGATTTTCTGCTTTGTGAGATTCAGGACACAGTGATGGATGGTTGTAGGCAGCGTCGTTAGCTTCCCTATGCTCACTACATGTCACACATTTTTCACAGGTCGATTAATCATCCTCAGCGGGTTCTCACGGCACAGACAGATGCTAGAGCTTTTGGGACATACATGCCAGTTCCACTTGGGCGAGATGCTAGACACAGAGACCCTGAGCTAGATGAGCAGCTAGAGATAGAGGATCCTCAGGATGAGGTAGTTAGAGACACTGATTAGCGGTTTGATGATGATTCTGATGATGATGATGACGATGAGTTACTGGGACTTGGACCACAGCCTCCGCCTATTCCACCTCAACCCCACGACCACGAGGCTAGTGGTTCCTGCTCTACTCCACCTTCAGTTCCTCCAATGACAAACCCTACCCTAGTAGCTTTACTTCAGCAAATGATCACTAAGAAGCAAAGATAGGTCACCGAGATACAACGGTTAGCAGCTGAGCAGGCACACCATGAAGCAGAGGCCCATACCGAGCAGTTCAAGCTAGGCCAGCAGATGCTTACCTTGTTTGAGAACATATAGGCTCAGCAGGATTCCTTCCAGGACTGGATGCTTGCTAGTGAGGCACGCCACTTTCACAACTTCGAGCACATTCTACAGCAGACAGGCATCTCACCTCCACCGCCTTTGGTCTAGATAGCAGCTCCTGCACTGGTTCAACACGTTTCTCTGGCCCTAGCTATACAGTACAATGTACCTCAGGGTCAGAGCTTTCCTCAGGTGTCTCCGATCCACCCCACGACACTTAACTTCTCCTCTCCAGCAGTACAGGGGGTGGATCCGAGGGTTACCAGTGTGTCTCAGTCTCTCCCAATTATAGCTACTCTGACACAGTCGGTGATCGTGGCGACTACAACAGCTCAAATTTCATAGACAATCTTTGCCACACATAGCCAGGTTACAGGAGAGTCCACCGAGGTCTGACACAGTCGGTGATCGTGGCGACTACAACAGCTCAAATTTCATAGACAATCTTTGCCACACACAGCCAGGTTACAGGAGAGTCCACCGAGGTAGTGTTGTCTACTTTAGCTCTTGTGTTATCTACAGCTCCACCTTAGATGGGCATCGGCGACACTCTTCCTTCCTTAGTTGCCTCATATGACCCGCCGCAGTAGGCAGAACCAGTGAGTCAGCCTCCTCCACTTGTCACCATAGAAGCTCCAGTGATAGTTTCAGTGACAGTGTTAGTTGCATTGGCCACAGTGGTAGCTCCAATTCAGGCAGTCCTAACTATAGAGTCTACCCGTTAGTCAGAGACAGAGTTCTGACTCAGATGTTGACTATGACCAGTTCGAGATTTCACCGTGCATCATGGCACCTGGTGCTACTGTGACTACCCCTCCTCAAGACCCATAGGTTTTGGTGCTTGACGCCAAAGGGGGAGAGGGAATGAGTATGTGAGATTGGGGGAGAGCTTGTGTGATGGATTTGATATCTTTGTGTGCTACTCCCTTATTTTGTCACATGCATGTTTACATTTCTATTATGCATTGTATTATATGTGTGCTTGCATGTGTAATGACATTGTGAGACATGTTGACTTCTCGTTATTTTTATATCATGTCTCATTTGTGTTGCTCATTTATTATGCTTTCACACTACTCCGATGTTAAACGAGCTTTACCTTCTTGTACTCACGCTTAATTCTTATATATTGAGTACATGTTGTGGACTTGGTATATGCATGGACTTATTCTAACCCTTGTGATCTTATTGCAACAAGTTCATGCAAACCAAGTGGTTGAAAACCTCATACTCGAGGTCATGTTGTCATCAATAACCAAAAAGGGGGAGATTGAAAGCATCTAGGCCCCTAGTTGGGTTTCTGTGATTAATGACTACACAAGATTACTATGACTAACGTGTGTTTTGTAGAGGCAAATTGAGTTAGGTCATGGTAATGGTGATTGATTGGGCAATTATGGTTTTCATGCCCCTTATCGATGGAAATTGTTTCAGTTTTCAAAGGATGCTCAACAAGGTTAAGGACGGACTAGTTCTAAGTGTCGATTGGCATATGAGTCAGAGGGTAGTGCAGCTGATGTCACCGGATAGGGCGGTGTACACCACCCTAGGTGTGATGGTGCACCGCCTTTGGGGTGGTGGTGCCAGCATCTCTTTTTTCTAGAGGTTGTCCATCTTGGTTTGAGCATAGGGTGGCACCAGACAGGGCACCGCCCAAGGGGTGGTGGTGCCACCACCCTATTTATCCAGAGGCTTGGTCTTTGGATGTTTGCCCTAGAGGGAACTGGATAGGGCACCGCCCTGGGGGTGGCGTTGCCACCTCCATATTTTTCTAGAGAGAAGGGAAACTAGGGCTTGGTCACCGCCCCTGGGGTGGTGGTGCCACCATGCTTAGGGTGGCAGTGCCAGCATAGTAATGGCTAATTGCAAACTAGCCATTGGGGTGGCACCGGACAGGGGGTGGCGGTGCGCCACCCTTCTATCCGGTGACCGCAAAAAAAGCGGAGTGGAGGGCCAATGGCTAGTTCCATCCCTTAGGACTATTTATACCCCTCCATCTCGTGCATTGAGGTTCTCTTGCACATTTGTTCAGCTGAGGAAACCATTTAGTGTGCAAGGGAGAGCAAGAGCCTAGTAGGGTTATTGTGATTTGCTAATCCAAGATTAAGGACCTCATTAGTGCATAGAGAGTAGCAAGTGTGCATCCACTCTTCTCATTAGGCTTTGTTGGGTCAAGTGAGAGTTCACGCTTGTTACTCTTGGTGATCGCCATCACCTAGATGGCTCGGTGGTGATTGGAAGCTTGATGATCATCCGGCGGAGCTTGTGGATGACCCAATTCATGGTGTGAGCAGTTGTGGGCGATTCACCGCGATGGAGTGTCGAAGAATCAGCCCGTAGAGAGCACTTGATCCTTGCGCAGATCAAGGAGGAGCTACACCCTTGCGTGGGTGCTCCAACGAGGACTAGTGGAGAGTGGCGACTCTCTGATACCTTAGAAAAACATTGTTGTGTTCCTCTCTCTCTCTTTTACTTTGAGCATTTACTGAGCAATTCAATTCTTGTCTTTACATTCTCAGAATTGCCATGCTAGAGTAGGACTGGAACTTAGGGTGCAAAACTTTTGTGTGGTAGAACAATAGAGACCACTTTTAACAACAAGGGGTGAAATGGGCTAAGTGTAGGGCTTAATTATTGCAAGAAATTTTAGATTAGCCCAATTCACCACCCCCCCCTCTTGGGAATCTTGATCCTTTCACCATGTGAAATCCCCTTCTTTGGATAATGGAAAGAATCATACTACATAGGAATCAGGTGTCGCAGAACCGACCAATTTATAAGAGTACAAGTACAATGGCAGCCCGCAAGCGGACGCACTGTCATACTTGAACCCATATAAATCTGGTAGTCCGTCGAGTACCACAACGGGTCTCGATAAATGATTAATAACAACCAAGATCGTACATGATTCAACATAGATGTCACATATTACATAAAGTTTACAGATACATTTTCATCATCAGAGTATGAAACACAGTTATTACAAACCGAGTTGATAGATAAAAGCGGAAGCAAATTAAGTTTGAAAGTAAAGTTTCCAACATAGTTTAATATAGTGCCAAAATACAATCACGGTCCACAAAAGCATATAGAAGGATTAATAAGAAGCCTGCCCAAGGCTTACTCCTCATCCACGACGGGATAGAAGCA